ACGGCCATTTTTAGTGTAGAAGGCAATTTCAAAATCTGCTATAATGTACACATTTTCATTATCTGTTAATGTGCCTACTTCACAAAGTGCAACAACCTTTGCATTCTCCCGAATAACTCGTTGTTTCAATGCCTGAAATCTATACCCTTCATGGGCCTTAATACTATTTATGTTAGAGAACAGTATATTTAACTTTTCAGTAGTATGGGGCCCAGGATGTAATTCTACATCACCACAGCATATTAAATCAAGATTATAATCATATACATATTTGGCACTGAGTTGGAGTATGGTTGGATGTTTCAGTTTGCATGGAAAAATGGCTTGGTGTTCCAAATCCACAAAGTCATACTTTGATACAATATAAAAACGTCAATCTTTCTGTCAAAGTAGTAGATCGCAAACTCGTATATTCTCATTTGCTAAAATCCCACTCCCCTCCATAAGTTTGGCAACCTTTTTTCCCATTGAACTACGTGTTAAAGCCTCTTTACCTTTGAATTTTTATTTACTTAACCTGCGATGAAAATACTAAATACTATTGATGGAAACGTAATTTGACTTTAATTCCAATTCCTCCAAATTTTGTCAATTTTTTCCCTCAATTACAGTAGGTCGAAAATTGATGATGAATTTGATGAATTTTTGAAAATCGACATTCCCATGTTAACCAATGGGAAATGGTAGGTTTGCCGCAAGTCATATGACAGAATATCCATCCATCCGAGTCCTTGCAAAAAATTAAGCAGGTAATTGAATTTGCTATCTTTATTTAACAAAAAATTGATATGTTTCTTCAGATTCAACAAAGTTATAGGGCTTTAAAGTCAAAATTGTTTTTCAAAAAACCTCTCACATTGAAATAACACAGGAGGCGAAAAATTCTTTTCAAAAATGACTTTGAAGCGCTGTAACTTTAATATTCATCAAATAAACTAAACACTTAGTTCAAAAAAGTTAGACAATTCAATTTTCTATATAAAAATATTTTTTACTGAATCTTTTACTGAAAAGATATCCTGATTTCGGATTTTCCCCGAACCCTCCATTTCCCATTGGATTACACGGGAATGACGATTTTCAAAAATTCATCAAATCTATCATCAATTTTCGACCTATTGTAATTGAGGAAAAAAATTGAAAAAATTTGGAGGTATTGGAAATAAAGTCAAGTTACGTTTCCATCAATATTATAAGTTATTTCATCGGCGGTTAAGTAAATAAAAATTCAAACGTTAAGTGGCTTTAACACGTAGTTCAATGGAGAAAAAAGGTTGCCAAACTTATGGAGGGGAGTGTACATGAGTATGTTTGCCCCTTCGTAAGAATCCAGATTAGGAAGCTTACCTCCCCTATTCAGAATGAACAACGAAAATGTTTCTATGCAAGCTGAACGAAATGATTCTAACAAAAATTAACCATTAGCTGGTAAATAAGTCAAGGTGTTCTAAAATGTTCCATCACTACACATGCAAGATTTTCACATAGATGCCATTGACCCTGCCTTCCCTTTGGAAAAAACTGTTTTAGTAACGGGTAATAGCTGTATTGCTGTTTAATGTATCGATAGAGAGGTCCATTTGTGTTTTTAATTGATAACAAATCCCCGGGGAAAATACTACCTGACAAGCAATATGGATGATGAGACCACATTAATGTATGATAAATTACCTTATCCCTGTTTTTGTACGTTTTTAACGTGCATTTAATACAATTTATCAGCCTGTGCTGTTGATCGTTGCTAATCGAAGTGGTCGAAATAATAACAAATTGGTTGTAGATATTATCTAAGAACGAAAGTTAAAACAGATAATTTGGGGAAAGACGATGGATGAAAACGTTACAGTTGCTACAAGACCTGGCTTTACTGGTCACAATTTTGGAATATCTTATATTATCATATCAGAGTTGACAGCGTCTCTCGTCATTGCAGCAAACGTATTAACTATCGTCGCTATTACGAAGTTTGAATTCTTGCAGACGACAAGTAACAAATTTGTGCTAAGTCTGGCATGTGCAGACCTGCTACTCGGACTGACGCTGCCATACTGTAGCATACGGGTCTTTTATCCAGAGGCACTTCAGTATGACGGGGGATCATACGAGAAATATTCCTGTCTAGTTTGCCAATGGTTTTTAGCTGTCACCGTGGCGTCATCCATATTATCGTACACTGGAATCGCTGTGGAGAGATACACTGCTATAGTTGTACCATTCAAATATCCGAGCAGATTCTCAGAATCCCGATCAAATGCTTTAATAATCTGCCTATGGTTGTACTCGGTCATTGGTATAACCATTACAAGCTACTTCAACCATTGGGCACCAAATGGAGAATGCATATTTACGAAAGTGTTGTATGATATGGAATTCCTGTACGGGATTGTGATATCAAATATGGTTACCTTGGTGATTATAATCACAACTCTTTATTCTGTGATTTTCTACATTGCCCTGAAGCAACAAAAGCAGATTCAAAACGAGCAGTGCACCATGAATGGGAATGAGCATGTCACGAGAAGAACAAACATGAAGATATTGAAGATGATGGTGACAGTGTATGGAATACTTATCATCTGCTATCTTCCGTATTGGATAGCTAACATCATTGTGGTGACGTTTAGCACTAAACCATTCTGGCTCATTGTCTTGGAGAAGTACGCTGGTTTGCTATTGTACTGCAACTCGTTCTGTAATGCATTCGTCTATGGCTGGAAGAGTAAGGAGTTTCGCAGGGCATTTAAAATGCTCTTATGTCCCTGGAGACACATGGACGCGAACAGCAGCTTTGGCCAATCCTTTTAATTTGGATGCTTGTAATAAAATGTATATTGAGTATCTTTATATCAATACTCTATTACAACTGTGTTAGGCGGCGGGGTTAGCAGTTTTGACTATTGACTGGGCATATGCAGATTGGTAGATAATCAAAATTAAATGAATAATATTCAGAATTATATTTAGTGTTTTATGTTAATGTTAATTGAACAGGCACACTTGATATTTTCTTGAACAGAGAAACAAAATATTTGAGTGAATGCATGTAGAGATATCACTGGACAAAATATATATCTTGACTTGTGGTTTTGGTTCATAGTGTGTTTAGATTATAATGTAGTAGTATAGCAGTTCTTAGATATGCCTATGGTGACAGTACGTAGACGAAAGTAAAAGTTTTGGCATTTATACCAGCATGGTCATCGGGAATATTTTATCATGATCATAAACATGGTGAACTTGACTCTTATTGAGTATTACTGGACATTGACATTTGAATGACATAGAGCATTGTCAGATTGTGCAGCCTGCCCAGTGTCAGCTTAAGCTAGCCGTACACCAATGGGACAATGTCCGATTTTGTCCCTTTGTCCGTTTTGTCCGATGATGTCTGGAATATAGTGCAATTTTGTCAGAAAATTGTCATATGATCATCACGTGGTGAAATGCCCATCATTTGTCCGGTAATGTCCCAAGAAAAGAATCAACATGTCCATACTTTGAACATAAAGGGACAAAATCGGACAACTTGGGACAATGTCCCGGGGACAACTTGGGACAAAAAGGAAAACTTGGGACAATATTCCCTGATGTCCCATGGGAATGTCCGAACTTGTCCCTTCATGTCCCATGAAAATATTTTACTCAATAACTACGGCTAGCTTTAGTAAGCGAGTGTACTGGAAATAAAACGAGTACATCATAAAATGATCAATACGTACATGGTCTAAGAATCCCTGGCGCTTATATTTACTGAGTCGAATATAATGAAAAAAACTCATATTAATGTGAATAGATGGTGTAACAGTGTTAATTCCCCTTTCAGGTTATCTTATCCATTTTTTGCATTGATAAAAGTTCACTTAAGTGAGCATAAACAAACGTTCCTTGGTATGTAATCTATTTCCTATAATTTTTACACATGATTCTCCCATTGGTTAGATTTTTGGGTTCGTGCGCATTCAACTGATTTGTGAACGAAAAAAAACAGTTTGATGGGTTATTGTAAGTTGCATGATCAACTCAAAGTATAAACGATTGCACAATTCTTCTTCTATGTTTTGTATTAACTATATTCGTGTTCTATTGGTCGTACCTGATAAATTTCATCCTTCTGAAATCTACCCTTCGGCCTTATTTTTTAAAATCCATCTTTTAGACCCTCGTATTACATTAAATAACAAAATTAAAGTAAATCAAAGGCCAAGGTTATTTATAACATGGCTAGAGAACAAATCCAACGCATGTATAAATATAAAAAACCAGGGTACACTGGTCTCAAGGGCTAATTAATAATTGAGATAAAACAAATGGGACATTGTTATTTTAACAAAATAATTTGAATTTAGCCTTTATAAAATGCAATAGCCTGGCAGAATTTAATTCAGTTTGATAACAATATGACTTTTCGTTTTCGTTTTTCGAATTCGAATACCAAGTTATACAAGTATTTGTTGACGTACAGGCCTAAACCAAGGCATTGCCGAATGATTCAAATGTTGAAAAATATTTACAGCGAGGAGTTAGGATACTCAAAAACCTTTGGAGGGTGATGTAAATGCATTGTGGTTTTGCTTTTGATCCGAAATATCTCCATTGTTAGAGAAAAAACTTGTTGAACACGTTTCGTGTGATTATTACCACTTTTACTGCCGTGCAAGAGATAAAGACTAGGGAAAGACTAGCCTTTGTCACCGTCGATGGTCGCTTTTGTCAGCTGTAGACCTTCTGTAATATACATTGTACTCTAGCACTGCAGTCTGTTTTTATTTTGTAGTGGTATGACTATTTTAAGATGATAAATAAACAGTTTCATTAAGATAGCAAAAAGGTTCCAATTGTCTGCAATATTAGACAAAGAAAGCAATCGAAGGAGGAGTCACAAGTCTCCTTATGAATTAAGAGAGGAAACGGACTAAATATTTGTGTTTTTTATTAGAGTATCATGAGCTAATCCTAAATATATTCAGCTCTTTTGAATGATACAAGCTAATAGGCATGTATTTTTCTACCAATTCTTGCAGTGAAGAAACACTTGTAACGGATATTTTACCATTTTACTTTAATCAGCCAATACTTACTTAAACAAAAAGCAGAAGTACTTTCGATTCAACGAGGTACATGTTGATGGAAGTTTAAATGTTCAAGAAGCACCCATAGATGCACGACCTCCTGAGTTCATAGCCAACGTAAAATTCCTGAGAGGAAGCAGGCGATATATGAGTACACATTTTATGAGGGACCAACTGTGCCAATGATTTTATTTTGAAGAATTTTATGACATTTTGTGACTTCACTTTGTGCATATGTGCATTTATGTTAGTACATAGGACTGGGATAAAATGATACAGAACATGAGATGCAAAACAGATATAAAACCAAGAAAGTTCACTGTTTTGCTAAAGGGATGAATAGACACACGATAGCATAAAAATAAGGTAAGAACTGATTTTGCTGAATATTATGTTGATAAAGTGACAAGAATTGTTGTTTGTCCTGAATTAAAATTACCAGACCTGATTTTATGTGCACAGAGTTGATTTGAGAATTTTCAAACCCAAATTGGGGAATTCAACTTGAGAGAAAAGGCCTTTTTGATGAACTACATGTTTTAAATATATGCTCAGAACAAATATGGTTCTATTCTTTTTAAACCCATCTTCATTTTTATTTGTTGAACTTGAAATCAAAATTCTACAGCCCCTTGTTCAAATCCATGTCAAATCATATTCTTAAGATCAACAAAATATGTCTTATTTGCACTTTGCATATTTGATATTTTTTTACCCTCGAAAATCACAGAGAACTATTTACATATGATTTGTATCGTTTTTAGTGTATAGAAGATTATACACATTAAAAAGACACAACTCGTATAGTTCTCTGTGTCGAAGACAGAGCTGAGTTTTGAATATGCTTTATGGTTATGATAAGTGGTTATGATTAGTTAATATTTGGTTACAGGGAACCACAAGCACTGTCATTCAATCTGATATGCATCTGTATCTTATTTTATGACAAAGTAGTCCATGGCCCTGTACACTGGTACATAGCCAGACAAAAGAATTGTTTCAGTAGAAATACGAACTCTGTTTATTGTAAATGTTTAGATTACAAGCTGTTCGTTTATTGTTTATAGCATTCAGCAGGGTGTAAATGAGTCATGGCCAACCACTTCGTTCGAGATTTTTCCACTATCGTTTTTTAACTAACTTTGCCTTATATCTGCCACTGGTATAGTGTGCTATATGCACTCTGAAGCCATTCTATCAATTTAAATTAACACTCCATCACTTTTACAACACTTGTGCTTTAAAACGGATTCAATGTCAGGTCTAAAATTTGACAGCTTTGTCTGTTGTTATGAGACCACCAATTTTAGTAGCTAGTTCTTAAAGACTTCGCTATGCTGTATATGGCAGTACTTTTGTTGGGTAAGTTTAATGGAGAGTAAAAATCGTTCTTATTGATAACAAATATAGATGTTGAAGATGCAAATCTCAGATCGGTATTTATCAAAACACAGTCGTTACGATTAAATCGGCCATCAAATCTAATATGAAGACTGGAATACCATCGATCTCGTAATTTAAGAGGCAAACGAAATCGTAAAAAAGATACCATGTGTTTCGGCAATAATTAATCATTCTGCGGTCTACCCTCTCCAAAACTATCTATACGTGGGTACATAAAGTAATGCCACAAATATTTATCATTTAAAAATTTCACAGACCCTTCTGTGATAAAGCAAGTGTTACCCTTGCAACTTGCATATGAGTTAAAAACATTTCATCAAATTGATAAATACATAAATCATACACTATATAAATTTACCAACAATTATATCGGGCAGGTCGATTTTATGTCGTCATGGGTCTGACAAGTCGAAAATTATTAGTTAGTCGCTGAAAACATCGGTCCATAATATCAAGTGAAACGTTTTGGTGGGATTTCTAGTATTTTGTGCGGATTGATACTGTTCAGACAATTTGCGAGCTATGCTAATGAATCACATGATTCTCATGGGATGATTTTATTAAAACACAGGCAGCTGCCCAATTAAAATGTTTTGTTTGACATATCTTCTAAACATTGTTGTATAAGGTTTCGTATTTCTTTCCATTGTATATATTTGTGTTTTTTTTATCAAATGGAAAGGGAGATGTATGTAAAATCAATTCTGCTAGCAGCTAGTGCTATTTTACGAAGGGGTAACATTTGTCTGAGGTTTTGACTAGCCTTTGCAATTGACAGTTACCTTCAAATCAAAAAATACCCTGCGAATAAAGCAATTTTATAATTATGCTTATAATATAATCTTTATACTTAAAAATCTCTCAAGTATCTCTCTTTCGTGATATTACTAAAGTTTATAAGATTGAGATATGAAGACATTTACACGTAAAGGGTTCATAAACGCTCTTATCAAATACCAACTGACTTTTTATGCCCTCGTTTCTCCACCGAGACTCCACAATCTAAACAATTAAGCTCTCCAGCTACGACCAAGCTACCCGATATACATTTTCAATAAGCAGGACATTTTTTGGTAAATGTTAAATGTAGTAAACATAGACCATTGCACAACCAAAGTTATAGCAATTTTGGTGAACTATCTGTGATTAATGTCCTTGTCGATCATGGATGAAGAGCTAGAGGTTTAGGCATTTCAATGGATTGGTTTCTTAGAAACACAGAAGCTAACATAACGTTCTAAATGTTAGTTGTTTATCTCAAGGGTCTGGATTAAACCGACCTTCCATATCTTTTACGATAAGTTTCCTTGTAAATACTTCCAGAATTTAACGATATTCGGGGCAAGTATTGAGAATTGTGATAATATGACGTGATGTATGTTAAAGTATGGCATGGCAAACATAAAATATTATGTTTAGCTGAGGGAATTCGGTCAGAAAAAGTTATCAGTATTTGTGAGAATTCGGCAAATTCTTGATAACATGTCAATTGAAAAGGACAAATGAGTCTCTTTATAAATTGTTTATGTGATTATTCTCAAAATGATTCACGTTTTCATAACAACATCCAGCTTCAATTTGAATCGAATGATATGCTTATCATGGAAAACGATATGAACAAAAAAGTATTTATTAACCCACGTTGTTTTCTCCGTATACGTATACACATGATCGTAAAGCAATGCTATCACGTTACCAGCCGGCAGGAGGCACGTTGCTTTGATCTAGGAGGTATTTCCACACTTGCGTCTTGCGTCATATCTATGCAGCTTTATATTTTGTAAATCGCTCAATTATACCCATATCTTTAATTCCAGGTTAAGAAAATGAAGCCTGCAATACCATTCCTAATTATATGCGCCTGCAGCATTGTGACATCACACACGGATATCATCAATGAAGGGCTTGACATTGTTAATGAGTTCTACCTCCGATACAACACCACCCACGAAATAGACCTGGTATTTATCTTAGATAGATCTAACAGCGTAACTGCTGATGGATGGAACGCTATGGTAAACTTCGTAAAAACCCTACTTCAACATTTCACAGTGGATGGTGACAACACACGTGTCGCCATTATAACATACAGTACATCAGCGGTCATTGATATAAATGATCTTAATAATGACAGAGAGAATAAGTGTTCTTTGACGCGACGAATAGCAGGTAGCATTGAACGTAAAACTCCAGTAGGTTGGACTGCTACGTATGAAGCTCTCCAAAAAGCTTACGAAATATTGTTAAATTCTCGAGTGACTTCTAAAAAGGCTGTATTTGTTTTAACAGACGGAAAATCAAACATAGGAAACCCTCCAGTCCAAGTTTCTTACACGATACAATCTCTGAAATGGGACCCAGAATGGAATACTGAAAAATTCGGCCCCCAGGCTGAAATCTATGCATTTGGAATAAAAAATGCTGATCTCGAAGAACTGAAATCAATTGCATCTAGGCTTCCCAATCATACATTTATGATTCCAAATTTTCAGACATTTGACCGGCTTGCAAGGAGCCTCCATGGAGGTGAGATGATTACAAATTATAGTAATGCATGGCTGACAATACTAATTCTCGACCTTTGCAAAAGAACTCAATAGTATACATGTACATATGAATTGTGATACTAGCCCAGATAAAGATGTCATTTATTTTGCTTAATTAGATGTATGTAGATTTAAGGCTGGGAATGGAGTATTTCAACAAATAGATTAATAATTTAATATCATGCTTGACCATTGCATGCGTTGTCTATATATTCAAGGTAGGCAGACTTGGATAAGCAAACTTGCTGAATTAAAGGCCCACTATACTCAATTTAGAAGAAAGTTGGCAACTCACATAGAAAAAAGCATTTGAAGTTCAGAGATCATTAGAAGTGCATGCACATGTTAAACAAAGTGCATGTTTTACATAACTGTTGATTTAAAAGATGGCGACACTTCTATAAAAATGAATGTGTCATGTAATACAAACAACTTTGCTATCTTTCAATAACATTGATAAAAAAACTTGATATATGAAGCTTGACAGATCGAAAATATTTTTTGATAATTTATTGTAAGCTTTGATGTGGTCCGTTTGAGCTATTGTTGGTGTCAATTGAAAGATAAGGTTCTTATCAATACATTTAAAATTCTATGAAATTCAAATGTAAGTCTTTATTTCGCCCCAGAACGTTGAAAATACGCAGAGTGGACCTTTAACTCTTTACGTCAAAGTTTGCATAACGTCATACGCAAAGTTCAAAGCTCGCCCTTCTATACTCCATAAGATAAATTCATCTTATATAGCATACACTCCCCTCCATAAGTTTGGCAACCTTTTTTCTCCATTGAACTACGTGTTAAAGCCTCTTTACGTTTGAATTTTTATTTACTTAACCGGCGATGAAATAACTTATAATATTGATGGAAACGTAACTTGACTTTATTTCCAATACCTCCAAATTTTTCTCAATTTTTTCCTCAATTACAATAGGTCGAAAATTGATGATAAATTTGATGAATTTTTGAAAATCGTCATTCCCATGTAATCCAATGAGAAATGGAGGGTTCGGGGCAAATCAGAAATCAGGATATCTTTTCAGTAAAAGATTCAGCAAAAAATATTTTCATATAGAAAATTGAATTGTCTTACTTTTTTGAACACTAAGTGTTTAGTTTATTTGATGAATATTAAAGTTACAGCGCTTCAAAGTCACTTTTGAAAATAATTTTTCGCCTCCTGTGTTATTTCAATGGGAGAGGTTATTTGAAAAACAATTTTGACTTTAAAGCCCTATAACTTTGTTGAACCTGAAGAAACATATCAATTTTTTGTTAAATAAAGATAGCAAATTCAATTATCTGCCTAACTCGTATTTTTTGCAAGGACTAGAATGGATGGATATTCTGTCATATGTCTTGCGGCAAACCTACCATTTCCCATTGGTTAACATGGGAATGTCGATTTTCAAAAATTCATCAAATTCATCATCAATTTTCGACCTACTGTAATTGAGGAAAAAAATTGAGAAAATTTGGAGGTATTGGAATTAAAGTCAAATTACGTTTCCATCAATAGTATAAGTATTTTCATCGCAGGTTAAGTAAATAAAAATGCAAAGGTAAAGAGGCTTTAACACGTAGTTCAATGGGGGAAAAAAGGTTGCCAAACTTATGGAGGGGAGTGTACATGCGTTAATTGCATACTAGGGTACAAAAACCCCTCGACCCTTTACAGTATGTATTCTCATGTTCATTTTCCAGGAATAAGGGTGTAGCAATGCAGAGAAAGTCGGTTTCGGTACTATTTTACAAACGTAGACTAAACAGCGATAACGGTTGCCATTAACGTTGCATGGTTACCATATCATGTGGCAATAACATTCCGTAGATATTATAAACCCCATCATAACTATCTTAGAAAACCTCACTCCTTTTCCAAGAAATAACATGACAGATTTTTCTTAATTAATTGATATTGAGGTTTGGCAATATTTAGTCATGGACTTCATTTTGTTTTGCCTATATTTGGTATTGCACATTTGGGAAATCTCAAAGGGAGGACATGATTGGTGCGTTTCATGTGAATGAGCATTATACAATGTTAGTTTGTATCTGTTTGGATCCGATTTTCAAAATTCAAAGTTTTTATTTTTCTTTGCACGTAGGGGCGTACTGGGTACAATGTTATTTACTTTTTTGTTCACGTGGTTTTGTTCGGCTTGTTTTATAAATATGATATGACGTGGTGCCTCAATTTCGAATGAAATCTAAAGAATTGTAAAATGTTTAACTTTTGCATCCTGTGATATTTTCTTTTATTTGACAAACAGTTATTTGTGTCCAATCACGTGCCACAAGAATCGAGTTTCGCTCAATGGGTAATTTAGGTTTAGAGTTGTCTAGACTATTTTAGATGTGCTTCAGCCACATAGCGCAAAAACAATTGTTTTATATTTACATTTAATGAAAAACCTTGCGTTCTAAACTCGGATTTTATGAGTAAACAGTTTAACAATGGTGCATGTTTTGAACTCCAGCTTCGTCATAATTATTTTAGAGATAAACTCATTATTTCAGTTTTACGTGCTAGATGGAAGCATGTTAAAAGATGATATACAGTATATGCAATTTGTATGCATGTTTAATGTTTACTGAACGGAAACTATTTTTCAAAAATCAGGCCACATTACTCGATAACATTATATCTATCTAGTTCAGCGCGTATGGTCTTGAAAAACTAAACCAAAGGGTTAATGGGTTGAGTTTGGTTTGTTGAAAAACCAATCCATTTTGTTAAACATTGTGGTCGTTTAATGGCTAAAAGTGAGAATGACAAAAACAACATGGCTATTTTTTGATCGTCTAAGTGAAGGATTTCCTTTCAAGAAACTCTTTTGAGAGTACTTCGTCCGTACGACCAGACATTTGGTTGACAACTTGAACAGACGTGTTTAGATTTCCTTTCCCGGTGAAATTTAAGGTCAAAATTAAAGTTGCAACAAACGATAAAATAAAATGAAGAAATAAATTTTACACGCATCAAAATGTATTCTTTTATCATCCACGATTTTATTCACGAATTTAAGCCCTGGACTCAGTGCAATGTGGAATGACAATTCACTAAAGGTGTTGCTTTTCAAAATTTACACGAGCTGCGCAGCGTCGAGTGTTAATTTTAGGAAACAACGTCTGCAAAATACTCTCTACCAGGTCACTTAAAAGATACGAAATTACCAAAAAACATATTTTCAATGAGACCTTTTACAATGGTCAAGCTGGCAAAGTATCAATTTCAGTCTGTACAATCAGGATGTCACCTTGGATGTTATGACTGGTGATATAATGCACTGCAGTTATTAGAAATACTGTGTTCGGATTGACTGAAATAGGAAGAACTTTGCCTAGCTGAGTGTGAATTACTGACATATCACACGCCGTTTAGATGCCTTCACCTCTTTGTGTTCGTATACCCAATCAAAAAAATGTCGCAGGAATGTCCAAAATCTTTAGACTTGAAAAGGAAGACATTTCCTATTTTTCAAATGAATGCCAAATATAATTGGCAACCAATATCATTTCGTGACATGAAAGCGAATTATTACATGTTTTTAAAATTATTTGCTTCAAAATACGTAGGCGTAGTAGAGAATGCTGTGAGCAAAACATTGTTTATTGTAATAATTTCCTTCCGATATGTTTATTGTATGACAGAGAAATATTTACATGTAATAGGTATATGTGAACTCTCACATTAGAAGAATTGAATAGGAATATTATATAAACAAATCAACCCTGGTTCTCCCTTTAATTTACAAAGAAAACTAAATGATCTGGTATAAGAACCAGATAAAATGCGTAAGGTAATAAACAGACTCGAAACCTGTTCAAGTGACAAGCAATTACTTGTGTATTTACACTTGGGAACGACTGTATTCTCAAGATCAAGCACTTGAGTAGAGTAGAATAGAAACTGAGACTGAATCTGATTAATCGTAATTAATGATCATTTGTTCTCTTCAGTTATAGACTAGCCATATAAATTGAAAAAATTACATAATCTCAAAGTTAAGGAAAATATCTGATTGCTGATTTTGGAACAACCCACAGTACACTGGAGTAACCGCAATTTGATTTGCAAGGCTATTTCGTACAGTGTAGGTCGCCCGTATCAGGTGTCAATAAACACTCGAAATTCAATATTTTTACTTACCACAATTATTCCAACAACTTGTGTTTTATTCTGTAAAAACATCTAGGTAACCACAATAGTATAATTAGGAAGTCACACTTAAACGGCACATGTCTCTTGTTTTCACAGTTAATCTGTTTATTGGACATCTAATTAATACTGACGTCTGGCGTTACTTAATGCTCTTTAATAGCTTTTACATGTAAAAGCATCCATGGTACTAGTATACAGTAACTGTCAAATCTAGCTTTTTCTCATTTAGATCCCTTTTTGCGAGGGCAATAACATATGGCGAACTTGCGGTTTGAATATGATATTTATCATCTACCTGTATCCATGTCGTTTTGATTAACCCATATTCTTTCGAGTATATGGTTAATTTCCTGTCATGGTATATCTAGCTCAGGATAAAAAACAATGTCATTACAACAGGTACAAAGAATAATTGACATAAAATCATAGGTAGTTCATATATAGGGTTTATGAACCGTCTTTTAAGGAATATATAGGCTTTCTGTTGTCCCCTCCTCTTAACCTCACACGTGAATTAAGACTCGAATGTTTGTTTGTTGTTTACCAGATAAACAAGAGGAAATATGGACTCATGTAGATGGGTACCTTTGCCAGCCTAGATGTTCGTTATATGCCGAATGCACTTGTGGTACACGAACCGGGCAATACCACTGCGTATGCAAACCCGGCTATGAAGGTGATGGCATCACATGTAAAGGTATATGATCACTATTTTAACAACAAGAACTACATTGCAATATTTTTCAAAAATTCTTTTGAAATGTGGACCAGGTGACTAAACAGCAAACAGGCTGTACGCAATCAATCAGCATTCGATATCTATTTTTTCACTTAATCTTTGATACCTTTCCTACTTTTTAACGTGTTGCTCTTGATGCCTCCTCATAAGAATAAGACTCCAATACTGTTAACAAAAAGCTGTGTTAAATAAGACCATATGTTTAGGTCGATGGTGTTATAAATGTTTATGTGAGAGGAGCGCCATTGCGATTTAATTTATTTACTAGATAGAGGGGTCAATAAACGTGCAAACTTCAATAGTATATCTTACCATCAAACACAATTATTACTGAAAATTTAAAAAAAGCCCCAGAAATGAATTACTTTTCAAATCAGTGATCACATTTTTTCAACCAAGAAACATAAAAACGAAACGTGTGAATATGTATGTGTTTAATTGCAGCGTGTAAACGTGGTTTCTTTAAAGAAGGCCTTTCCCCACGTTCTTGTGTAAAATGTCCCTCTAACTCAGAAACACCACAGTCTGGAGCATCTAGCCTAGAGGAGTGTAATTGTCGCCGTGGTTTCGTGAGGCAATCTCTAGAAGAACCATGTATAGGTACTAATAATTAAGGCCGAGTCTAATATATGTAGTTTACTATACGTGTTTAATATACCTTCACTAAAAAATTATGTTTTCAATAAGGAAAAATATTTTATGTCAAGTCATCATGAGAAAAAATTATATGAAGGATATATATATACTGTATATGTATTAATACTAAACTCCAATATATTTTTTCTAAGAGCTGTTTTGCCCAGAATTGCCAACGGTAGCAAATAGTGAAAAGTTCTACGTTCGAGGTAGAAATATGAACGAGGTCCCGAACACCGGAAAGGCGTGTTCTAATACCGTAGAGGATTCTTGTCATTATGAATGCACCGAGGGATACCGGTTGACAGGTGCTCCGGCTCTCGTGTGTGGATCAGATGGCAGCTGGGAGGGGAACACACCAGAGTGTCAAAGTAAGTCAATATTGGAGGGAGGGTGTATTCATATAGGACTATACGAACATATGTTTGTGTTGGGCTATGCCATATGTAATATAATGATTACGAAACTACAATTTCGACTTTATATATCTTCTTCGTGTACAAGTATACTCTTTTTTAAAATTATTGTTATTTTGACTATATGTTCGTTTTCCATCTTACGAAAATCCAAACATATTGCTCCTTTCGAACGGTAATTTGACAATAGGCATACATTATTTACCAAATATCGACATCCAAAGTGTTTTGTTTTAGTTGTCCAATGCCACACGTTAAAAGAGATAGGAGAAGCAGATCCATCTGCAATTATTACTTATAAAGATGGCACTACCACATTTGGGTCAGAGGTCAACATAAAGTGTCCAATAGGAATGCGAGCCTTTGGAGACGAAACCCGAATTTGCTTACAGCAAGGTATATGGAGCGGTACCAAAACTCATTGTGTAGGTATGTACATGTACTTTGGGATACATATTCAATAAAACACCACCGGATATACATGCCCCACCCATCCCCATCCATGCGTTGCTACAACAACCATTTTTAGACTGATCATTAAGGTATGATGCTAAAACTTCAGGATACATAACAGATAAATATAACACTCCAAGTGCAGTATTTATAAAATCTAAGCTGAATTGGAAAATATTCAAGAAAAAGTTGACGTAGAGCAAAAGATTTTTGGGAAAACCCTCGTATACGTATACGTAATTACTCCTTCAATTACAAGTCGATTTTGAAAATTCAAGATAAAATAAATATACGTCATAGTGTAAATAATCAAGTGAATATTTCTGTATTTTAGATATAAGCTGCCCTCGCCTGCCGAAAGTGCAATATGGTGTGATATATCCAGAAACTTGCGTCCAGTCAAGCCAGAGGTACGTGTGCATTTTCGGTCTTTGTATGCACTACTTTGAAAAAGTCATTATTGTTTTTATGGACTGTAAGAGTTCATGAGTCCCAATGACCAATTTAAAACTTATAATGTGTTGCTTCTTTTAGATTCGGTACTGAATGTGAATATACATGTGCACCTGGTTTTGAAGTACGTGGACCGAGTAGCAGAACGTGCGAAAATAATGACAAGTGGACAGATCACAGTATTCAAACTGAATGTATTGGTACGTATCAAACGCCATCTATTGAGCTTGTTAAATGCATTTGTTCCCTTACCAATCTAATACTTCACGTTGTTAATCTTAATTTGCCATGATCATTGGCATCATAGACATATTCACTACCCCCAAAGTAACCACATATTATGAAATAATGACTGCCAACAGTAGCCAATATTAATCTCAGTCGTATGGATTTATTGTTTAAATTAAAAAAACAGAAACATACAGTATATATACAAACGACCTGCTGACCTCATTATAGATGTACAAGCTCCAGTGATCGAGTGTCCTGCAAACATTACTCGCCCAGCAGACTCCGGGACGGATTACGCTGTCATACATTGGAAAGGGGACGAACCTAGGATCACTGACAATTCTAAGTATAAATGGACTGTTACACCGAAACCAGAGAATAAGAGGTAATAATACATTTTACATATAGCATCAAATGAGGTTTCCAGTCAAATGTTGTGATTGATTTCATCTTGAGTAAAAACAGTGTAAGAAAGAAAAAAGGATGAGAGATCATACCTCATACAACAAAGTTTAAAACATTTTTATGCTTTTCTTCCACACATTTTCGGTTAATGCCAAGGTAACATAGGAACGTATACCTACAAATATAGAATATGCCCTATACATATAAATATACTCAGTCGTTCTTTAGATTGAGCCATCACAGGCATGTTTTCACTTGACGAATTTATTTTAGGTTTGCGATTGGATTCCATTTACTAAAATATACAGTGACGGACAGTGGAATGAATTCAGCTAGCTGTCACAGAGCCATCCACGTAAAAGGTACTCCATATCTTTTGGTTTTATATATTCTTGTGCCTCTAATATATAGTATTATATGGATGGATATAAGATAAAAATGATCTAATTCCAACAAAAAGAAACACAACGTAAGGTTGTACTGCAATTCTTACAATTAAAGCTACTCTAAATGCACAATTCTGTAACATTTTACAGTTTTATCAAACGGTGAATTAACATTGGATACTCAAAATGCGAAATGTGTAATATATCCCAAAATAAAATATATGGCCATATTAATATTATAGAAAATCTCACATCTACGACATTGATTAAAAACAATCTAAACACATGTTTCACATAAGAAAAACCTGTAGCTATTAGTAAACGATCCATATTTGGTAAACTTATATAGCTGCGTGTAATTTGCGCTAATGATTTCGATCAATGCTTTGACGATGTTCTCCTTACAGGAAAATCTGCCAAGGCACATTTTTGTCCCGAAAGTCAACTGATGGAGGATGTCACAACTTCCTCGTTGATAGTTGCCTGGCAACCCCCGATATTCACTGACCAGGATAACAAACATATATCCAACTACAGGTACAGTACAGTACAGTACAGTACAGTATATTCCTAATCTTAACTCACATAAAGTTGGTACGACGATTTTTCGACGATAGATTTAAGATGTATCGACGAATGCCTATGAACCGCCTTCTGTACTCTGGTGAAGTGTCTTCATTCGATTTTAGTGATAAAACGTTCTTATTTGGCTAAAATAGGACTACATTGTCAGCCTGTGCAAAACAAGTGGCAGGTGAACCATAAAATTATTCCATAATTTTTTCCGTATATATACTTTTTCATATGAGACTGGATTGTTGTGTGTTCAATCCCTTTATTGCGAGGGTGCCTACCTTAGTTTTAGTTTGATGTATTGTATCTTTAATTATAGGTGTAGTCAGACCAGTGGAACACAGTTTACCATTGGAAAGCACAACGTTTATTGTCAACCCTTGGAGCACCTCGACGTTGTTTGCCATTTCACCATTGAGTTAATAGGTACTTTGCCAAATCTAAAAACCAATATTTCAAAATACTCTCATGCAAAACATGTATTATGGAATAGCTTCAAGAAATAACATTACTAAATCTTTCTTAAAATTACTTTTTGAAATATCAAAATTAACTTAATTACTACTCACTTTAAATGATGAATGTTTGTTTCAGCCAAAACCTGCGTCCCTTTACCGCCTCCAGTTCATGGTAGTGTAAGTTGTGCACCAACAGGAGTTTATCTTCAAGTAAGTCATACGTAGGAATGTCAATGACACATAATTATAAGTAATAAGTATGTCCACTTTAGTTCATTTTAATATGTTAATTTTAACAACCATGACAAACACACGATTACTTAAACATATCAAAAATGCCTGCCCATGGATGTATAATGCAATGTTTTGAGAACAAATCGCCCAATGTATATACTAAGTACTAAATTACTAAATGTTTCAGGTGTGCACAGTAAGCTGTCAGGAAAACTGGGACTTCTTTCTTCCTCCGGCGAATCACTACTATTGCGACAGAAACGGAGTGTGGGGTTCTCCAGATGGCACAAGTTCTCCACCTGATTGTTCTGGTATCTAAATAATGTCAATAACAATTTAGAAAAACATTAAAAACATTCTCATTAAAATTTCTCACCTAACCAATTTGAATTCCCTGATAATGAAACGTGTATTTAACACTAACTATATAAATATATAGTGTTACTATATGTAACTATATAAAATGGAATACAGTTTTTGTCACGATTCTTCAATGTAAACAATTATTAATGCTTGGTTTATTTTTAAATTGTGTAATTTTAGAAAATCGAATTGTTTTCAATTTTCAGCGGTCAATATCCCCAATTATGCTATCATGCAAAGTGAGATTGAATATTTCTACTATGGAGGTAGTTGCAAGGACAATGCCGACGCCATAGAACAAGCATTCATTAAAAAGGTTCGACACATTTTCGAATTCTGTACATATGTTTCAATATAGTTTTTTGCGTTCTTGCCGAATTCAATCACAACATAGATGAATCAGGTTATAGATATGTTTATATCGGATTCAGATTTCAAAATATGTTTACTTTGGATATATTTTAGGCTCAAGAAGACCCTAGATTCCAGTGTAATCTACCAAGTATCGAATGTGACCTGACATCTATTCGGATATCATGCGGAATTGACTCAAGACGCAAGCGATCAATCACCGGATCTGATGACGCAATAGAAAATATTCCAATAGAAAATTCAATTCTTGGCAATGTATCATGTACAAATTTAACAACTGGATCTGTAGAAGGAAACGAAACGAAGATACCGATTTGTCCTTCGCAAAGTCCTGAAGTTGTGAGAACAAAATTGAAGTTACAGTTTGCTATCAAAGCGAAAATCGATGGTGAAGTCAACAAACGTAGTCAGTTTTCTTTAAAACGTAATCTGATAATCGTGACGTCACAACTCGACAGGGATCCACGTAACAAGCTAAACGTAGATGTTGATGGAGTCAAACTAGAGGCAATCACATATAATAACACACATTTGGAGTTTATCACAAACTGTAGTGCGGGTCAGGTTACGAAACTGAAAATGTATGAGGCAACTTGTGGTGAGTCACGTGACCAAACAATATTTATCAAATAATTGCAGAATTAGATATAGGAATGTTTTATTTCAATTTCAATTTTATTTATTATACCATCACCCAAATAAAGGGTATCAGGCAAAAGTACATACAGTAAATAAGTATATAACAATTAAGTATTTCATTTAAAAAGACACCATTATATAATTATAAGCATATATTGATTATATTTTCAGAAAACATGTTGAAGGATTTTATACATGCATTAGTAAAAACACATTTAAAATGACTTATCATTTGTAGTAAATTGTCCTTTGGGCCACTTTAAGCACAATGCTACTTGTTTACCATGTCCAATCAACACATTCCAAGATGAAGAAGCAAAAACGTCGTGTAAGGCCTGTCCTGATGGATTGAAAACTATTGGCACAAAATCTTCGAGCATTGATGAATGTTTAGGTACGGTATCATTAACCATGTCCCACTTCGTTCAATAAGTTAACGGCAAAATGCTCTTATTTGAAGAAAAGTTTTGTGAAATATTCAAATAACATCCAAATGATATATTTGGTTTGGTTTGTAATATGGTTTGTAATTCTTTATCTTGAAGCGCCATATACTTTATCTTGTAATTCATATTTGTTTCCAATTTCTTTTTCATTATATCAATTTTGAAATTGACAAAAATGGTATCATGAGATGCGAGTAGTGATGTTAACAAACGAAAATCTAAGAGGTTAATCTCACTTCAGCTTGACATTATTACTACCTGCATCCTATGACAGGGTCAATCTGGCTAATATATCCTCGCTTCTTCAAAGTAGCAATACGTTTCAGGGTCTATTTGAAAATAACTATTGTCCATTGTTTTATTCATATATACTGCTATTATTACAGCATCATGTGCGCCCGGAGAATATTCTACTACAGGACTACAACCGTGTGATAAATGTCCTTTTGGGAAATATCAAAATGCTCCTGGGATGACTGATTGTGTTCAATGTCCCGAAGGACTTGCTACTCTAACAACTGGAAATAGCAAAGTCACTGATTGCCAAGGTAACACAATCAGAACTAGCTTTTCTGCTAATTATAGCAAAACTTGTGTCAGTGAACACCTCTCTCTAGTGAACACCTGTCTCTAGTAGACGCCCTTCCTCTGCACATATCCTACTGACTTTTGTATAACTTACCCTCTCTGTAATGAACACCTACCTATTGAACTATGAGATATTACATATACTTAACTTCATATTTTTTAGCCCAATGCTCAAAAGGACATTTCAATGCAACTTCTGGATTGGAACCATGTTTACCATGCCCATTGCATACCTACCAATCAGAGAAGGGGAAGTTGGAGTGTTTGGACTGCCCAAGTAACAACGAAACACTCGTTACTGGAGCAACTTCTATGGATGAATGTATATGTACGTATTACAAGTATTTGACAGGTTCCATTCAAGTTCTCAGAATCCTATCTAAGACAATAAACCAAATCAACCACTGTTATCATGTCGAAAATGATTCAATCATTGAGGTATCAATCTAACGCGTGAAAAAAATAGACATAGGATTGCTTCAATCATTGATGTATCAATCTAACGCCTGAACGAAATAGACAGAGGATTGCTTCAATCATTGATGTATCAATCTAACGCCTGAACGAAATAGACAGAGGATTGCTTCAATCATTGATGTATCAATCTAACGCCTGAACGAAATAGACATAGGATTGCTTCAATCATTGATGTATCAATCTAACGCCTGAACGAAATAGACAGAGGACTGCTTCAATCATTGATGTATCAATCTAACGCCTGAACGAAATAGACAGAGGATTGCTTCAATCATTGATGTATCAATCTAACGCCTGGACGAAATAGACAGAGGATTGCTTCAATCATTGATGTTTAGTTCCACAGCAAAAATACAAGTTGAAATTATATCTGTAAATATAAAAATCGACTAACGAGTTATTTGTGTAAAAGTTGAATGTATTTTGAACTCATTTCATCAAATTACAGATATAGACCATTGCCTGAATGTGTCGTGTCAGAACAATGGGTCATGCATCAGTATTCAAGGCGATGCAATGTGTGAGTGCTCGTTAGGCTTCACAGGTCCACATTGCGAGACTAACATCGACGAGTGTTTGTCATCAGAATGTACAAATAATTCCACTTGTGTAGACATGGTTAATGGGTACATGTGTAACTGTTCGACTGACACTACTGGTAAGTTGCAACGAGCATCTGTTTATTTAATTTCATTGAATGATAACATGTTCAATCGGCAGAGAAGAATAAAGTTTGATGAATGATTTAATTTTGTAGAATTCAATAATTGTCTTGTTTTTTCAAAAGCGAGACCTGAAAGGTTACCTCAAGCGCATCGAGCTTCAATTATCTCACAAAACAGACATTATGTAAATGACCCTCATAAAGCCAACTGTAATATCACCATTTATTTTCTTTCAATTAAAGGTGAATTTTGTGAAATTCAAATTGGACCATGCGACTCGTCACCATGTGGAAACCAGGGATCGTGTCTTGCAACTGGCAGCGACACCTATGAATGCTTCTGTCAAAGAGGCTTCAATGGAACGAACTGCGAAGTGAATATTGATGATTGCGAGGGTATTCCTTGTCTCTATGGAAACTGTTATGATTTGGTTGATGCTTTTCAATGTACCTGCTTTGTTGGATATACAGGTTTGATTTCAACTCAAGTCTAACTCAGATAAATGAAACAATTATTAAGTAATATCATTCCACTTAGGTACAATTTGCAATATGAATATGAATTGTTTGTATTTTTAACCAAACGTTGGTTGTAGTATAGTAAAACATGTACATACAATTCTCCTTTTCGCGATTCGCTCTTTGAAACAGAACGTTCGCTAATATGCACTGAAAAAGCACTCAAAAAGGACAAAATTTGATTGGTCAATCTTTTCCCACTATGCATTTCGCGTAGCTATTTGCGTGACACGAAAGTTCTAAATCAAACTAACTACTCAATTTTGTTTTTACACTCGCACGCTAAATAAAACAATGACACCATCGGAAGTATTCTTCTTTGTCATTGCTTTAATAGTCAGTATACCGAGTTTAATCAATAAAAGATTGTACAACGAACAACAAAATTCGGAAACGAGTACTATAGATTTGCTTTCGGACCACTGAACGGATTGACCTAGATAATAGCGACGCGTCTTCTTTGGTCTACTGTTCAGTTGTTTGTGGGTTTTCAACGTAACTCTATAATGTAATTTGAAGATGAATACTTTTATTCAGTTGTTGCATCGATGTCGCAGTTTGTAGTGCGGTAAAATTGGCATGAAAGTATTGAAAGTCGAATGGAATTGTTTTTTCCAATATGGCGACTAGTCTACTGATCACGTGACCTTCTCTTCCGGAATATTTTCTCACTTTTCAATCATCGTTTTCACCACGCTATGAATTAATACAATGAAAAAAATAGCTGTTATATTAAGATTAATAAGAGATCAATCGTTTCTAATAATTTTTTCTGTACTCTCCTACGGGAATATGAACGAATATTTCGTTTGAAAAATAGGTGTGAAAATCCCTATGTTAAACCTATGAGGGAAAATAAGGAAGTATAAATTTGTTCCTCCGCGAACTGCATCATGGGAAATATTTTGCCCTTATAAGGAAAGATTTTCGCGTCTTCTCTTTTGAAGAGGGAACAACGATTTCGAGAATTGATGTTATGTATCATATTACCATCGGGTGTAGGTTGAATTGTAATGAGTCTACACTCATACTGGTGATGACTTAATTAAATGTCTTATTGTTATAGCGGAATTGTGCAATGTTGCCATTGACTACTGTCTTAATGATCCGTGTGACAATGGAGGCACGTGTAACAATATAGAGAACGACTTCTACTGCAATTGCACAGAAGGATACGAAGGTGAGTTTTACTATCACTGTATAGGTCTACTCTGACGTTTACTCGAACGACGAATGATATGAAATCGTGAGCCCATATTTAAGCCCCATGCCAATTTTAATTCCACAGATTCAAGTTAAAACATAGTGACAGGTAGAGAAATATTCAAATGGGATTTACAAAAACAAACTTCTAATTAAAAGAAGGATATCAAAGAAATAAGGAACGTTTAACCACAAAACCAAACATAATTGTGCAGTTCTTTTTAAATTCCTTTAAGGAAAGCGATGTGAAGTAGAGTTGAACGAGTGTCTATCAGATCCGTGTGTGAATGGTGCAACTTGCCGCAATTTCCCTGGTGGCTACACATGCGATTGCCAGCCACTCACCGGAGGAGTACATTGTCAAATGAGTAAGTTCATCTTCATAAATTCTCTTTTCTAAATACCGTTTTTTTGCATTGGATCATAATTTTAGATATCTTGTGTTTGTATCTTTATGGCTGGTTGTCCGTTTATATTTTCATTTTTTGGTTACGTTTTTAATACTCCTTGGTCGTTCCTCTTTGTATTTTCATATTTCATCCTCATATTTATTGTAGATTTAACGCCAGACTATGACCTCATATTCATTGTAGATTTAACGTCAGACTATGACCTCATATTCCGAGAAGGTAGCGTATTGGATTATTCTTCACTTTCCCTACCTTATGATTTGTATGCCCTGACTCTGTGTCTGTGGCTCAGAAGCGATGATACTAAAAACTACGGAACCCCTGTGTCATACGCTGTTGAAAGTAATTGGCTTAGTGCAGATGACACAAATACAATTACACTGTACGACATTGGACAACTTCAGGTTTGTATCCCTGTTTTCAAATAAGTAACATTTTGTAATATATATTTTCATTATATTCACTTCAATCAAACTGGAAAGAGAGCATGAATGAGATTGGTAAGATCTCAGCATTAGTATTGTTAACATTGTGTTTTGATCTAGAGATTATTCTTGCTGGACAATTATGAACCAGAAAATATACTCTGCATAAACCGATCCTTAATTAATTAAAAAAATACATAAGGGTTGTGTACTGGGAGGTTTTGGATATGGGGTTTATCCAGAGGGAGATATGCATATCTACCTGTGGGACCGAAGGTCCACCTTAGAAATGATGTACATTAAATATGCATTTCTGTAACAGTGAGAGATAATTTACCCACTTCAATTCCTAATTGTTTCAGTTATATGTCAATGGTGAATCGGTGCGAACAAATATTTCCCTAAATGATGGTAGCTGGCAACACATATGTGTCACATGGGCGAGTGGGGGTGGACAATGGCAAATCTACATCAATGGGACTATAATGGCAGTGGGTAGCCAGCTTGCTGCAGGGACATACATCAGAGGGGGAGGAGCCTTTGTCCTAGGTAAGTTATCTTAGGTTATTTCCGTTGAGAGATTATGTAATTTTGAACTTAGCAAGATCATTAAGAGGACATTTTTAAAGAAGGTATAGATATAATGAAGGGGGCGATATTTAGTTTTCATATTATCGTAGTTCATTATTGTAGTTGATTTATGCAGTCACATGTTCAACATACTTATAATTTGAACTTGAGCTTTTTAATTAACTATGAAAGTTCCATATTTGAAAATTCTCGATCCAATTCACATTTTACATGAATCCAATCCACTAGATGTCGATCAGATCCATATTTTAATCCATACCTTTAATTCTATCTATTCCTAGGTCAAGAACAAGATGGCTACGAAAGATTGTTCAATCCACAGGAAGCATTTATAGGAGAACTCACACAAGTTAATGTCTACGACAGTGTCCTTCCAGAAGAGTCAATTAATGATATAGCGAACTCAACATATTGTAACATGGCCCTTGGCGATGTACTGAACTGGCCACAGTTTGCTACTGGTCTAAACGGAAATGTTGAAGTTAGAAACGGAAGCTTTTGCCTGGGTAAGGGAATGCTTTTAGATATACCGTACGTCATATTAGTTCTTAAAATAAATGAACTAAATGTACTGAGACCTGGATTACCTTTGCAATGATATTTCATAATGAATGGAACTAAATGGAGATAATTATTAAAGCAAGCAGCATAGCTTTTGTTATGGCCATTGATGTTGTTTTTGACTTTAGAAACCTGAACACTGACGCTAATTTTCCCTTACAGATGTTAATGAGTGCTTTTATGGAGCACGGTGTGGCGGTAGGTTCGTTTGCGAGGACTTAAAGGGGAATTTTAGTTGTTCCTCTTGTAAACCTGGATATGAGGGCAAGTTTTGTGATCAGGCAAGTGACCAGTTTCTCGTTTCTTAAAGTTTTGATGTAGGCCTATACTTGGTCATAGTTTCCGCTGATCTTTTATTTTCCACCGTTCTTTTCCACCAAAGCGTGCTTTTATTTTATTTTTTGTTGGTATTAATGAATAACGAAGCTCCTTTTTAACGTTTCAGACTGTTAACAAATGCTCACCGAATCCATGTAAAAATGACGCAATCTGTACAGTTTCTCAAGAGGATGACGATTTTGAATGTCACTGCTTGCCAGGGTATACCGGTCAGTAGCCTTATGTTTAGACATTTTGATAAAAAATAACATTATTTGTTATAAATTCTTAGTTTCTACTTGCAAATTACGACCATCTTTTGATGAAGTTGTGTTTCTTTTTTGTAATAGGGAGAACTTGTGATTATGTGCTCGACCCGTGTCTATCAAATCCATGCCTTGCCAATGGAACATGCGTACCCAACCAAGATAACAGTCAATATAGATGTGAATGCCCCCTTCCGAGTATGGGGCCGAGATGTGAACCTAGGTGTGACAGCATGGAATGTGGGCCAAATGGTGATTGTATTGACTACCAAGACCATTCCGAGTGTCACTGTCACAATGGTTACCATGGTGAATATTGTGAATTAACTCAAAACGCATGTGACAGTTCTCCGTGTCACAACGGAGGTCAATGTCACCCAACTGAAACTGGATTTGAATGCGACTGTGTAGGATTATGGAAAGGTCGCGTATGCAACATTGAATACAAACCAAACTGCAACATCAATCCATGTCTTCAAGGGGGGCAATGTTACCTTTCCTCGTCTTCTAGCCAGGGGTATGAGTGTAGATGTCCCGATTTACCTGACGTCACATGGGGCCAAAACTGTGACATCGTCAATCCGTGTGATTCATCTCCTTGCATCAATGGGGGAACTTGTGTACGATTGCCCGGAAGGTTTTTTGAATGTGGATGTAATCTGCCTTATACTGGACCGAGATGTGAGACGTTAATCACAACAACAACAGAGGCTACCACAACTGTAGTAACGACGACGGAACCAACTACTACTGAAATAACTATACCAGGTAATTCTTATTTATAACTTTGTCTGGAGAGTAATGAACTTGTAACTATCATAGGATGACTATTTGAAACTTCAATAAAACACGCCCATGCACGATGTCATTTACTTGTGATACAGCTGTTTCATTTTCCGTTAGAAATTAGATATCTTGGTTCAGATCGAGGTTGTGTGAAGGTGTAGGAGAGGGAATAATTAAACATGCTGATCGTCATACGTTTCGTTATTTCTTTGTAGCCGATTTTGGTTGCGAGTTTTGATTAATAATATAACTTTTCATACAGTTTTGTTATGTCACCACTACAAGTGTTGACATATTGTTATGGTCCCCAAGTTTTTATGACGATATTCTGCGGTTGGTGTTCGGCGTCTGTAACACTTGGCAGGTGGTGACATTCGACATTTTGTCTTGTTTCATTTTTGTTCCCGATTTGATGAGTTTGATCTAATTTTACCCGTTTATGAAATTAAATAAAACATTACCAATTGAACAAAACATTACAATTTCATGGAATGTTCCTTCGTTTCCATTTTAGATTTCTGTTCCCACGTCAACTGCTACAATGGAGGGGAATGTACTAACGAGGTGGATGGATTCAGATGTAAATGTCCTTTGAAATTCACAGGTCTTTATTGCAAAAAGGAAAAGCTGAAAGGTAAATTATCCATGAGGTATTTTTTCTACAAATCAAAGCTTTTTTGGATTAAATTAGTGAACATCATCTAGGAGTTGGTGATACCTTTTCACATACAACAGAAGATTCCTTATTATATTTCTCAGATTTCTCGAAATAGCTGACAGAACGCACGTACCAATTTATATGGTGGTCGGAGGTTATTCCTTAGGAATTGTACCATTTGGTTTAACTCTAGATCTCCTTAATTTTAAATCTGATAAAATTAACTATTATGATGCTATTAAAGTGTTGTCTATCAAATCCCTAAGTTTCAGCACCACGTGATTTCTGTATATTTTAGTATGGTTACTATGGTAACTTAAATTGATTGCTTTGTTCTTTTCCAGAGGAGTTTGTTTACAATGTTCTGGTACGATTGGAGATGCGCTACAATCCATATCTAAAGCATATGGCCGATTTTAAAAGGGGATTTAGTGCAGCGGTAAGTTCACTTCAGGGTACCCAGATTTGAAACTGTTAATATTGCAAATTGCATACTAATAAATCTACCATTTTATTAAATTAAATAGTAATTAAATTACTAAATGTTAAGTCGTTAATCACTTTAAGATGCGATACTTAATAATAGTAAACGTTATAAACCGCTTATCACGAGGGGCAAATGGGGCAAAATTAATGATGGGTAAAATACTGATATTAAATAACTTTGAATTGAAGCTAACTTTATCACACGTGTTTATAATTCATTCCTCTATTTTTCAACTTTACAGATTCACAACGTTTATGCAGCATTGGAAGATGCCAGTAAGATAGAAGTCAGCATTAACGAAGTTAGGTAAGCAACTTTTAAACAAAGTAACGCACATGTACCGGTCAATTTTACTTCTTGTATATTCAGTGTACGCAATTCGTTAACATTTTAAATTGTTTATATTTTCCAGCAAAGGAAGCGTCTTGGTTGATTTTGATCTCATACACACTATATATTATAACCCTGATGAAGTTGATTTTGAAAAGGATGATAGGCCCAAAACTCTATCGGATATGTTGAATGCATCGCTGAGGTCTGGCCAACTAGGGGGTTTTCGAGCTTCGCCCAAACAATACCGCTTTTCTGACAAACGCAGTCCACGTAAGATATATTAAATACTGTTATAAACACTTCCGTAACTTCCTTGCATATAGTACATTTCAAGTTGGTAGTCATATGTATTTCTCCATGGTAATTTGCTTAAGAGTCAATAACAATGTAATTTTGAAGTGGTTTCATTTTTGAGCATTCACTTACCCACTGACTTCTTCCAGTATTTTGGCCGTCAGCAATCTCATTATCCTTTTAAATGTTTAATTGCAGCTGCTACAGAATCGGTAACAGCGGAAAACAATCAGGACGTGGGTCTGTATGCAGCCCTGGGTGTACTTTGTGCATTAATCCTTATCGCTATACTCTTCCTTACGGTTGTTCTTGTCATGAGAAAGCGGAGACAAAGGGGGGTACAAAGGTATGAGCGCTTCAATGAATAAATTTAAGCAGCATGTACATGATGATACTTTCTCAATGAATGATTCTACACGTGTCCATATCAGTCACGTAACGTAGTCATATCAGTAACGTAGTTAAAGCAGCAACGCAGAGTCTAATTTATAAAGCTTTTCCTATTGATGAACCAAGAACTATCATCCTAGGGCTACTGTTTCCAAACTTTTTCTTATCTGCTTCCTTTAAATTCATCCACTTTGTGTCAGAGATGTACATTGCCCTTTAACTTACTTTATGAATACATCTTCAAAATTAAAAAATCAATGCGCGTATAACTATATGGACATTTTCAGTATGCGTAAATTAAACAATGACCCGCCAAGAATTGTGAATCCCATTGCACCCATGAGCAACCCAGCATATATGAGAACTGATACTCCACCTGAGAGGGAACCCATGCTTCATTCACCAACGTCTCCAACAGAAGGTAGAATTTATTTTCAAACAAAGTAGACTGAAAAAAATCAATTTTAGTCCTTCAAATGAGATATCTTACTAGTATTTTGATCCAAATATGTCTAATTAACACGTAAAGGTTTTCAGCTCCTACAAGTGCTAGCAGAAGTCTAATGTAAAACATGTCAAAAACACTAAATGTTTCCTAAATTGTTGATTTCAGAAAATATATACGCTGATTTGGATGCTCCTAAACCATATTGTGTCTCAGAAACAAAAAGTGACAGGAGCGGTCCTTGGAGGCGGCAAAAAGATGTCAATGTATTCAACGAAAATAAAGCATACGGAATGGGTGCATGTGGCTTTACAACAGACAACCAGCCAAAATTAACAAACCCCATGATCGAAGAGAACAATAAAAGGCCTAGATATACAAATGAAAACATTGAACTGAAACCATTAAACAAAAATGATAACACAAGTGATTATCTTGAGCCTAAAAGTATTAAAAAGCCCCCACTCTTACAACTTAGGGAGTTCGATAAGCCACTTCCGATACCTCGTCCTCTGAGTAGTGCAGGCCCGGATATACCCCCATCCCCACCCCCAAGAACACCCATACCACCAAGTGATAGTCCGGTTGATTATTTGGACTTTACCAACCCGGATATGGCTGGTCGAAAGCTCCCTCCGATACCACAAGACGGTGCAGACAAGCATACTTATGTAAATGAGGACATAGAATACGTGCTGCCGGATTCACCAGGAGTCTGAATAAACATTTAGTTCGCAGTTTCGTGATCATTGCATTCATTTGTAAATAAAATACTCATAAAAACAGAAAAATGCCATTTGGCCCAAGTCTTCTTTGACTTGTATATTATTATAATTTTGCAATAAGCTGGAAACGGAGTCATAGGATATGGACTTAGGAGACATTGGATATGTATTTTTCTTGAAAAATATTAAAAAGTTGCTAGTATGCCTGGTTACAGTACAGTATTACCGTACAATTGTATTTAATAAATACAAATTATATTTACATACGAATACCAGCATTACTTTATTTGTTAGTATTAAAAGATGCAGTTGATATACAAATAAAATTAATATAGATATTAAGAATCTATATATTACATATCACAAATGACAATGGCAGTTTGAAGCAAATGTATTTTTGAAAAATATATAACATAATCTTGCAACATAATTATGGTTTGTAAGTATGTAATACAACACTTGACTATTTGTCAGTTATTCAACCATTGCTAAATTATCACATCGAACAATCAATTTACTCATTTTTACTGTTCAATGATCTAAATGTCAGTCTTTCAACTTGGATTGCTGCTCTCGTTTTAAGTCTCATACAAGAACTCGCGTACTTACAACCATTCACAAATCACTCAAATCTATAATCAAGCTTCTCATGTCATCCCCAGATAAGGCTGAACTAAAGCGATCCCGATCTTATGAAGGAATGTGTATTTTCAAAATGTTCTATGTTTTTAGTTATCTATGAAGATACAGTATATCATTAATACAAATTCTGTATCCACATTTTTGTATTCCCATTTTCGTGTTTTGTGACTCACATTTTAAACATCGAAACATTGACTATTAAGTTTTCAGATTTTATATAGAATCTTAAGTTTCCAATTTATAAGCCATAGATGCATAGTCTTAATATTAACTAGAAATAGATGTACATTTATGCAAGAACTGAAATATCTTAACATCGCAAATTAAATATATAAGGAAGTCATTAACAGAAACTTTGTAAAGACTTATGACAAATAAATATTGTAAATCTGAATTTTAATAGATAAGCAACTTTCATTATAATCGGATATATGTTGATTATCAGCAGAGGGTCATAATATACTTGAAAAATTCCAAAAGTACATGTTTGTTTTATTATAACCTCATATGTTTTTGGTTACAGCTATGTAGGAATTCTCAACTTTATGAAGCTGCTATTAATGCCCCCTTGGCAATAGTTAAGATGCTTTTCCAAATTGTAACTGATTATGTTTGTACATATAATATTTACTGTTACTATAATTCTACGTTCGTCCTCTGCACGCACTGGCACTCACTGTTTCAATTTGGGATTTTTCAGAAATAAATATTCTAGCTATTGATAAAATCTACTATCAAGGGAATGATAAACGTCACAAATTGCAATGTTTATGTTGCTAAACCCCTACTGCACTTATGTTAAAAATATATTGAAAAATATATATGAGCATTACGTTTAAAGTTCCTCCTCGATTACAATTGTGTTCATCTTTCTTAAGCTATGCATATGTTGATTAGGGCTATCCAACAACATGGACGTTTTGTCTTGAGTAAAATCAACAGTACACTGAGATCGAAGTTTTTTCAAACACTTGCGTCTTTCAGAGAGACCAGGCAAATCTAATGATTTGCTCATACCATATTTCTGTTTTGGTTTAAGCTGAGCGAATGTTTCAAGTCTATGTGACTTGCCAGGTTTTTGTGTAAGTGACGCATCTGGTATTCTGTCACAGATTTCAGAGTTATTTTTCATGTCTGGTATAACTTCAATTTGATATGCATTATCTTTACTGTCAAATGATTTAGAACTCATGTCATTTAGTTCGATATTTTCTACAACATTTACGTCACTGTCACGATGTTTACGTTTTTCCGGGAAGCGTGACATCAAACTTCCCTTCCGGTAACACTCGGCGTTCTGAATATTGTAATTTGAAGCCTCCTTGTTTAAATCAGAAGTCCAGCATGATGATTGCAAATCATTGTCAATGGGTTGAAATTGTATATTTATCTCCTTACTGTCCGTGTCACTGTCATTTGGTATTGTTATGCCATTATTCAGTAGGTAGTTTGTGTTCCTGGTCAATTCGAATTCTGCAAGCTTACTGTCATTTTTAGTCGATTTATCTATTTTTTCAAGTTTTGGATACCTTTCATTCGCAAATTCGATTTGTTCAATTGTAAGGTCACTGTCCTTGATTAAGTGTTGTTTCGCGAAATTGGGTGAACAGTTCTCAATCAACCCTTGCATCGTTGATTCATTGTCTTTGATCGACTCATCTGCAAGTGTGGGGTAACTGTTCTTGATCGATTCTAGCTGTGCGAGTACACGTTGACTTTCCTCAAGCGACTCTTTTCTATCCCGTATTTGATCACTGTTTCTAATTGATTCTAGTTTTGCAAGGGTTGAATCATTGTCCACCGTTGACTCCCGATTATCCACAATGCAATCGCCGTGTCTTTCCGAATCCTGTTTTATCAGTAAACAGTCACTGTCCACAATCGACTCTAATTTTGCCAGCCTATCTGCTGCCTGAGTCAACTGTTTTGTCACACACCTGAAAATATATTTAAAGAGAGAATCAGATCTAGCAAGCAGCCTCACAAAAAATTGTTTCAATTTTAGAATATTTCTGGTTTGTGTCATTCTTTTTCATGTCTATTTTCTAAAAATCCCATAAGTGCACATATTATTTCAGGAAAACTAAAGATTGTTACAATAATGTTTTATTTTTCTATAAGAATGGTTACCATTCTTATTATTTGGGAGAATTTGAACATTTTTCACCCATTTTTGCACTTTGAATCCATAATAACTTCACCAATTTATAACATATCATGAATCTTTTGGGAGATATTGTATTTGATATTGTAAGGAATATATTGGTAGGTCAATTGTACATGTTGCTTGTAATTTTGTCACCCCCATAGATCTGATTCTGCCTTTAAGGAATAAATAGAACGATTGCAATAATCACTGACATTGAGCTGAAAGAACAGACACGTGTACATTTGTATGACTTGAAGAGGCCAATGGCTATTTCATTCAGATTCTAGAATACAATGTTTGTCAAAATCTGCACTTGCCATACCATTGCATTTGGGTTTCAGAGCAAATTGCTGATGATATTTTCTAATGACTATATATCGACCTTATATTCTCCTTGTGTATCTTAACAAATATGATATTTGACCAGGATCAGCTATATCAAAAAGTCTTTCCTCGAAACGTATTTTCATTACCAATCGATTTTGCTCAATGCTGTTTGATATACAGATATACGAGGGGTGATCCAAAAGTCTTGGACGCCCTGCTCTAATTTTGTTGGTTTTTGATAAAATTACTTTAAACTTTCCAATAATAAAGACCAACAGCCTAACTACTTTGTGTATTAATTTCATGGTGAAATGATATATTTTATGTAGTTTTCCCGATAGTTATTAATATAGTGACCCTGCCACCCGGAACGGTATTTGCACGTGGCAACTTTCAGCCTTAAATGTTGCTGCTATTTGACTTGTTTTGCAAGTCTTGACCACTATCTTTCCTTAAATTTTGAATGTTCAACCATGTTAGTTTACTTCCTTTGTTACTAGGCAACCAATTATTTGTGTTTAAATCATAATGTCACATATGGCAATGGCCGTATATGTCAAGTTCTAAGAAAATGACATCACACAATCAACCCTCATTTTGAGATCTGATTATTAGTCCCGAGCCCGACAAATGTTTTTCACAGAGCGGGATATAATAAATCACAGTTACACTGTCACGTAATTTTATAGGGCTCGCGGGATAGTCGCAATTGCAAACACCTTTATCCCGTATGAGCACTTTGTAGCACTGAGCCTCGGGACAGTCAGTTTCTCAAACTCACTGTCCCGTAATTTTTTTTTTGCAAACGACGGGATATAATTAATTGAGACCTGACATATCCCGGCGCTGGGTAAAAAAATTTGCTGCGGGATAAAGTGATTTCAGAACTTGACTAATGCTGATCAAAGTATATGCTATCAAGCCATCACACATCTCTATGTAATTACCATACTATATTACCCTTGCAAATAATTTCCATTTTTCATCATTGTACTGAATTATATCAACATTAGTCTTTAATCTTTGAAATGTTGCTAAAGTCTATTGGGAGGGGTGGCATGTACACACTTGATTCATAATGCTATTGTTTGTGTGGGGGGAGGGGGCATCTCCACACTTGACTCATATCATGGTCTATAAGAATCACAACTGTCACACATCATCATTCCATCTGGTATCATTTAAGTATCTATGAATATGATTTGTAGTATGTACATAAATCCTTGTGCGCCATCTTGTATCATATATTATGCCTTTGTTGTATATGTCTTTTTATTTTTTAATCAGCTAATATATATGTATATAAATCCTGGTGATGTAATGTTGTCATTTCTCAAGCCATCTCATATCATTTATCATCCTAATTGTTCATCTGTCAACAGCTCCTTCCAGTGAATTAAATAAAAGTTGTTTTTTACGATAAATACAGGTGAAGTATTGCGGCAATTCCACATGCAATCTGTTTTTCCATCTATTCCCTGCTGTTATTCCACCATATTCTATCTATATGTTTTTGACATGCTGATTACCCATGCCATACATCCTGAAATAAGCAAATAAGATTTATTTACCAAATATGAACAAAATCGCTCCACTACTTTTCAATTTATAGTTAAAAAAGTAAAAATGGTCGCCATTTTTCAAAATGGTCGTCTACTACCCAAAGTGTCATTAGACAGTGTGCCATGCTTAAAGTATTCACATATAAAAATATGAACAAAATCGCTCTACTACTTTTTGAGTTATAGTAAAAAATGTAAAAATGGTCGCCATTTTTCAAAATGGTCGCCTACTACCCAAAGTGTCAATAGACAGTGTGCCATGCATATAGTATTCACATATAAAATATGAACAAAATCGCTCTACTACTTTTTGAGTTATAGTAAAAAATGTAAAAATGGTCGCCATTTTTCAAAATGGTCGCCTACTACCCAAAGTGTCATTAGACAGTGTGCCATGCTTATAGTATTCACATACCAAATATGAACAAAATCGCTCCACTACTTTTCAATTTATAGTTATAAAAGTAAAAATGGTCGCCATTTTTCAAAATGGTCGCCTACTACCCAAAGTGTCATTAGACAGTGTGCCATGCTTATAGTATTCACATATAAAAATATGAACAAAATCGCTCTACTACTTTTTGAGTTATAGTAAAAAATGTAAAAATGGTCGCCATTTTTCAAAATGGTCTCCTCCACCAAAAGTGTTATTAGACAGTGTGCCATGCTTATAGTATTCACATACCATATATGAACAAAATCGCTCCACTCCTTTTCAATTAATAGTTATAAAAGTAAAAATGGTCGCCTACTACCCAAAGTGTCATTAGACAGTGTGCCATGCTTATAGTATTCACATATAAAATATGAACAAAATCGCTCTACTACTTTTTGAGTTATAGTAAAAAATGTAAAAATGGTCGCCATTTTTCAAAATGGTCGCCTACTACCCAAAGTGTCATTAGACAGTGTGCCATGCTTATAGTATTCACATACCAAATATGAACAAAATCGCTCCACTACTTTTCAATTTATAGTTATAAAAGTAAAAATGGTCGCCATTTTTCAAAATGGTCGCCTACTACCCAAAGTGTCATTAGACAGTGTGCCATGCTTATAGTATTCACATATAAAAATATGAACAAAATCGCTCTACTACTTTTTGAGTTATAGTAAAAAATGTAAAAATGGTCGCCATTTTTCAAAATGGTCTCCTCCACCAAAAGTGTTATTAGACAGTGTGCCATGCTTATAGTATTCACATACCAAATATGAACAAAATCGCTCCACTCCTTTTCAATTTATAGTTATAAAAGTAAAAATGGTCGCCATTTTTCAAAATGGTCGCCTACTACCCAAAGTGTCATTAGTCAGTGTGCCATGCTTATAGTATTCACATATAAAATATGAACAAAATCGCTCTACTACTTTTTGAGTTATAGTAAAAAATGTAAAAATGGTCGCCATTTTTCAAAATGGTCGCCTTCTACCCAAAGTGTCATAAGACAGTGTGCCATGCTTATAGTATTCACATACCAAATATGAACAAAATCGCTCCACTACTTTTCAATTTACAGTTATAAAAGTAAAAATGGTAGCCATTTTTCAAAATGGTCGCCTACTACCGAAAGTGTCATTAGACAGTGTGCCATGCTTATAGTATTCACATACCAAATATGAACAAAATCGCTCCACTCCTTTTCAATTAATAGTTATAAAAGTAAAAATGGTCGCCATTTTTCAAAATGGCAGCCTTCTACCAAAAGTGTCATTAGACAGTGTGCAATGCTTATAGTATCCACATACACTACCAGTCTAAAAAGTTAAGTTCGAACCCTGCATACCAAATATGAACAAAATCGCTCCGCTACGTTTCAAGTTACAGCAAAAATCGTAAAATAACGAGTAAAGGCCGCCATTTTTCAAGATGGCTGTCATTTGCTTCTTTCATATCTACATTCTAGCTTTATTAATGTCCTAAAAATGTAAAAATGGTCGCCATTTTTCAAAATGGTCGCCTTCTACCCAAAGTGTCATAAGACAGTGTGCCATGCTTATAGTATTCACATACCAAATATGAACAAAATCGCTCCACTACTTTTCAATTTACAGTTATAAAAGTAAAAATGGTAGCCATTTTTCAAAATGGTCGCCTACTACCCAAAGTGTCATTAGACAGTGTGCCATGCTTATAGTATTCACATACCAAATATGAACAAAATCGCTCCACTCCTTTTCAATTAATAGTTATAAAAGTAAAAATGGTCGCCATTTTTCAAAATGGCAGCCTTCTACCAAAAGTGTCATTAGACAGTGTGCAATGCTTATAGTATCCACATACACTACCAGTCTAAAAAGTTAAGTTCGAACCCTGCATACCAAATATGAACAAAATCGCTCCGCTACGTTTCAAGTTACAGCAAAAATCGTAAAATAACGAGTAAAGGCCGCCATTTTTCAAGATGGCTGTCATTTGCTTCTTTCATATCTACATTCTAGCTTTATTAATGTCCTATATATATTTTTTACATTTGAAACATATTTACTATAAGTACGCTATTGGTACACATTTGAAATCGCCAATATAATTAAGACGTCTATAAAGATCTCGGTCTTCGATTAACATTTATTTCGACATAATTTATAATAATTTTTATATATCCTTCTTGCTATTATATAAGGCAATTATTCGAACTGAATTTTATGAAATATCCTCTATGGTTATTCAATTCACAGCCCTTCGAAATAGCTCTCAATTGAATAAATACACCCTAAAAGGCGTGTTCAACGTTTCAACGAGGAACGAAACGAAATGGCCATGTAGTATGTAAAAGTATATATCTTTTTAACTGTGCCATCAATGTTTATGATATTTTCAGGATAATACCCTATTTCATGGATCATCAATTCTATGCATAAATATTTACAAATAACGAACAGCGTATGACGTCACAATAGC